ATTGCCGGTTAGAGCGCTCAAAAGCACTTTGCCCTTCTGGTAAAGAGAACGCAAATAGCGGTATTTTTGCATGCACCTCTGTGAACGATTACTAATCACAGTGTTAAATTTAGGAGTCCTAGCTTCAGTAACAGGTACTTTTCTTCGCAAGCAACAATGCAAATCAAAAGATGCCGAGATATGGCATTTTAGTTCACGTTTGTTTGTTGTTACTTAAAAATATTTGACTGCATAGTAAGTCAAAAATAAAATCCCTTTGAGGTCAAAATGTTGCAGGAATGACTGCTTTAATACTGTAAACGTCATGAGCTGTCTATTTTATGATCGACTGTTAAATTTGTGGACAAAGGTCCTTCTAACTTATTTCAGTATTTATTTCCTTAGCTTAGTTGGAATACACTTCATTATAGCAATAATCCTCGTGATGCGTTGGAGATCCATTCGCATAACAACAAAATAGTCGTAGACGCTACTAATTTATATATTTTGTCGTAGGATATCTTCCACCAAACGTTGAAATTTCACTAAACTCACTAACGTATGTCGGAAAGAAAAAATGAAGTCTAAATGCGTGAAACATTTTAAATATTGCATTAGATGTTTGTAACTTAAATTAAAAAGCCAGTTAATTTGCAATATTATTTTCAACTACTAACAACGCTAAATACATTAAACAAAAATATAAAACTTTGAATTTTAGTGAATGAATTGTTACCGAAACAATGACGAAAGTTGCCAGGCAAACACAATAAATTGGACCGATTAATCACGATATTGTCGGAATTGGAACACATCATGTTATAATTGACTGACGTTCTTTAAACTGATGACAAACTTGAAAATACATTCAATAAAGGTTATGTTAGAATAAGTTTGTATTGTAGACCATAGTTCAATAAGATTTATAATTAAAATTAAGCAAAATTGATGTTACGCTCATTTAAAAAATTAAATCATTTAAGGGCTGTGTTCATAATGAGAAGTGAAATAAATACGAAAAAAATTTCACATGAGCCCGACGCTTTCACTTCCTTGGAAAGACCAATTTATGAAACCGATGACGTCTATATCAGTGTTAGGCATTATGAAACGGTATGAAAGCACTTTGGCAAATGCCAACCATCATTTTGACTAGACCGCCTTGCTCAACGATTTAGTCAAATTTTCGACACTGAGAAAAGACCCTGACCTGTACCAAGTTGCGGATTTGTATGAATGGTGTGTGCCTCTGGTACGAATGCAGCCAGATCGCTTAAATGATTGTGATGACTGGGCGACTTGATTTTGCGTCGTTAAGATAATCTCAATGGACGTGACAACGGATGCAAGTGGGGTTGGCTTTAACATTCTTAAGTAATATTCGTTAAAATGGTTGCTAGAAAAAATTCCGAAGAACAAATAAAGCATGTTTTTTTTCACTCCGAGAGGCTAATGACATCATGTTGAATTATGGTGAAAGATAGAGTTCACATGCTGGTTGCAAAAAAAAATAGTTTTGCATGTCGAAACATATGTTGTTTTGTTTTGCTTGATCACAATGTGAGGGGCAAACAGCGAAATTCTGTACTGGTGTATCATTTCTTTAATGACAAAACTATGGATATTTTTTGCAATTTATGAAACCGCAAACCAAATTTTAAGGTTAATTTTACTTGGTGGTGCATATAGGTAATGTTGATAAATAATAAAATAATGAAAGCTTTAATTAAGATATCAGTAAGGGCGTTAAACCTACTAACGTTATTTTATAAATGCTTAATTATTATACGAGTAAAACATGTTTAGAGCTACAAATGATTGTGGTAGTTCCCGTGAAGAGATCAGAATTCTGCTTTTTCTAATTTTCTAGCTTGTGCAGGCACATTTTGGCCAGGACTGTTTAGTCTGGAGGTAGCGCCGTCGACTTTGGCATTTCCATTGCACATCTCGTTCAGCGTAGTCACGGCATGGCTATTTTCGCGGAGACAACTGTTAATAGGCAATCATAATTTTCGGAGTGCTACCAACTAACTCACACTATAATGTAAACACCGCAACAATTTGGTAATGAATGACTTAAAGACACCCACTATCTATCACTTGTGTGAAAGCAGCTAGTCTAAAATACTTCGAAACCCAGGAGTTATGTTAATTCCAACCACGTCTTCCCGTCAGTAAGTGCCTCCACGATGAGCCCTGCAATTCAAGCCTTCACTGGCAATTAAAAGGAATTTCATTCTGGGCGCTAATTAGGTTTTTTGGAAGTAGACTTTGAAATGTCAGTGAGCCGCTTGGCTCTCAAGGTGTCGGGTCATGCGAAATTAATTGCAGTGGTCAAACTAGCTCCTGAAGGATTTCTGTTTGCATTAGAAAATTGATTAACAGTGGTTGCTTCTAATGACTGAAAATTAAGTGATTCGATCCTGTTGTTCCGCAGCTTGCTCCATTAGAGAAGTATAGATTGGAGTTTGGACAGGTAAATTCTTAAAATTGCAGAAAAGCGGGTAGATGTAGAGAACATTTTTCAAGGGCATCAACCCGATTGCATTGATGACGCACTTATTAATATACGCATTTTTACCTCATTTCTCATCACGTACAATGCTGCGATGTTCTCTTAAGCCTTCCGAAAAGAAAGGTGGGGGAATTTGTGATAACGTATACCTTTGAAGATCGCATATACTGCCTAATACACTCATGTGTGTTATATTCTAAGCTGCAGTTGTAGTCGTCGAAGGAATCGATTGTGTGTCTTCGGTTCCGAAGCTTTACTCTCAATTATTCGAAAACGACAAAGCCCTTCGGGGTTATAAGAGCCAGTCGTATGGAGGCAGAGTCGATTTGTTCCTGCCGTTGAGATCTCTGTAAGTGAACGCATTCTCAATCGGTTGATTACTTTCCTGATTACAGCCACAAGTAAAAGAAGGATTTCAACGTAAGAATTACGCTCTTCATTACCAGATAAATGAACTAAATTTGTTGTAAGGTTGTTCTCTTGGGCCATCAAAAGCTACGGTGAACGTGTTTCTGTGATGGATTAATGAATTCATTCGAATTTTACTAATGTTGAAATTTTTTTAAATCCATCAATCAGGTAAAATTTCCAAAGCAGTCATTTTAACAAGGTGATCATATTTTAAAATACGGCAGTTTTTTTGACATGAGGCATTGGCACCTGAAATAAGTATCACATTGAAATCAGCGAAAGCAAGAATTTGTGCCATTTTTGAATTGAATTTATATGTTTTAAATTACTGCTAATGATTTAGAATGATAATGAAATGGCCAGTTATTTAACTATTAATACGATGATGAGAAGTCAATTACACCTGCCCCTTTTTTGCCCGTATTTAACGTTCCGCATCGAGAAAGGTGCATTAAATTATCGAAAAGAATAACGATATTCTAGAAGGCAGATTTGAAATTCTGCAGTTGAGGCTTAATCAATTAGCTAATAATAGTAACATTGTAAACAAAAATACTTTGCTATGAATTTTCTATGAAAATTCAGAAAAAAGCCCATAAAATCATCCAGAATGTTATAATGTTGCATGCGTGTCGTTCTCTGAATCCAATATACTGAGATTTTTCTGCCTACAGACAGGGTAATTCAATAAATTTTGACAGAAAATGGTTATGGATGGTATGATAGGGTTTGGTGACCATTCCCTCCTTTTTTCAATTAAAATTGTTCAGTTAAGCGTGATATAACCTCCTTACCAGGCCTCATAGAAGCACTCTAATTTAAATTAATCCTCTTACTAGTGCAATGTGAACCTTTACTCGGTTACTGAGCTACAGTGGGTACCCCCAGTAAGATCATAATTGCATTTTAAATCAACTGATGTGCGTTCCTAGGCCTTTGACATTATTTTGCTGTAGTTACACTAATTTACGACTTACATTTACCACTTGATTTAGGCGGTGGACATAATATAGGTTTAAATTTATTATTAACAACTTCGGCCTGGTAATATTTTAAATTAATAGGGCGTAAATTGTGCATCTGCGACCCTAAAAATGTTCAAGACGCGAGCTTTTACTCACGCAACTTTAACCGCCATTGTCAAGATAATTGGATTGGTCATTTAGCACATGACATGGGTGCTTTTCCAGACATTCGAAAATTCCACTAATTCGTTTTTAATGAACGGATTCAATGATAATTATATACCAGTGGGATTATTGTGACATAACTATCAGATTTATAAGTTCCGTGTATCCATTTGCTTTGAATTAGGGAGACTTAAATGTAAATTGAAAGGCTTTTGAAACCATGCAAGATATTGTTGAAGTTTTTTACTTAGATCAGAGATAAAAATGATATTTTGTATTGAAAAAAAGAGACTACTGTTGCATAAGAGTTATGTCACAACCACTGTTTCAAATTCCCTAAACATTACACACTTTTTGATTTTAATGTAGTTTTTTTCGTTCCGACCAAGTGTTTGTTGCGACATGGTTTTGCAAGAAATAAAACTGAAATAACGAAGGAGCAGTCATAGATTAAGTCGTGGAAAGAGGAATGTTTGTGCAGGATAACAAGTGGTTTATGTAACTTTGCTAAGCATCGGTTCTTGAACGAAGAGAGTTACGTAAAGTGCATTCACGTAGACTAATTGAATCAAGTTCGCTCACGCTTGCAAACTGCGTTCGCTCACGAATGTTAACTATGCCCGCTTGCTGCTCGCCACAGCTCTCCCCCTTGGTAAAAGGAATTGGCGAATATTTTCTTCCAAAAGGAATTCTGATGAGTGGGTCGTAAGTATTGTGCAGTCGACTCGCGGAATTCTAGAAGAGTTTGGAACCTGGAAGCTAACACTTCATAAGTCGAGAACCAAGTCGAGTTACGCGAAAATGAAACAAAAATGCGGTGAACCACGTGAGATTCGAAAATCGATGTTGGTTGGGTTTGAGACAGACGATGGTCAGGATATGGTAACAAGGGGGGTCAGGCCGTGTAACGATGAAGCCAGTGAACGCGCCTACTATAGTGTGTGGTGATAATCGTTTCTTGATTGTCAGGGGATGGGAGTTAGCTGCTCCTTAAGTTTATTCCTTGGCTGCTTCTCAGCGTCGAGGAATGCCGGTTTGATGTGGTCAATAAATCCGGCGTCTTCGTTTCCATTTCTTTTGACGATGAAAACCTTCTCTTTTCGTCCGAGTATTCTGAAAGGTCCATCGTAGGTGGGTTGAAGCGGACGACGAATGGCACCGTGCCTGATGAAAACATGAGTGCAAGAGGACAGCGCTCTCGAGATGTCGTATAAATTGGGGGATGAGTGAGGTCGAGTTGATATCAGTTTGCTCATTGCCTCCCTCAAATCATCGACGTAACTGCTTGTGCCAGGCCATAAAGGTGAGGATGTTGCTGTGAAAAGTTGTCCAGCTATTCTCGATGTTGTTCCAAAAATAATTTCTGCAGAGAAACAAACCAAGTCTTCCCTTACGGCTGATCGAAGACCAAGAAGCGCAAGAAGTAATACGCACGACCAACAAGATAAGTCACTATGTGTTGTTAAAGCGACTTTCAGTTGCCGGTGAAAACTTTCTACCATGCCATTTGACTGAACGTGGTAGGCGGTCGTTCGAATGCGATTCATCCCCAGAATTCGTGTGAGATTTTGGAACAGGCTTGATTCAAACTGTGTATCCAGATCTGTGATAATGGTGAAGGGGACTCTAAATAAGACAACACATCTGTCCTCGAGTGTTCTAGCTTCGTTTTCGACGGGGATGTCTTGCATTCTAAAGGCATCCTGCCATCGAGTAAAACTATCAACGCAAGAAAAAAGGTAACGAAAACTTTCGAGTGCGGTAAGGGTCCAACAATGTCAACGCGTACGTGATCAAACCTGATATCGGGAACTTTAAGGTGTCCAAGAGAAGTTTTGCCGTGTTTGTCTACCTTCGAAATTTGACAGCTTAAGCAATTTCTTGTCCACTGTGTAACATCGTGCTTTTATAGCAGGCCAAACATAACGCCTTGAGATCAGCTTCCATGTTGTACGCTGACCAAAAGGAGAAAGAATGTGAAGGGCTTGGAACACTTGGCGTCAAATCGGCTTAGGGACGAAAAAACGTTGCACACCCGTTGAAATGTTGCAGACGATTGTACGGGGTGATGAAGATAGAGGGGCTTCGACCAGCTTTAAGGCTGTGTTTTGTCTTGCAATTCTTCATCAGATTGTTGAACGAAAGCCATATCGTCTAAATCCCATGTGTTCCTATATTTACAGCGTCGATGTGCTAGCGAGATAGTGCGTCGGCTACCGAATTGCCCTCGCCCAGGACGCGACAAATGTCGGTTGAAAACTATAAAATATAATCCAAGTGTCTTGATTCTCTTGGTGATAATCGGTTCGAACTCCAACGGTTTGCAAAGGTTAGCGGTTTGGGGTCGGTGTAAATCGGGAATTGCCGACCTTCTAGGAGATATTTGAAGTGCTTGACCGCCAGGTAGATAATCAGAAGCTCACGACCGAGGGTGCTGTAGCGCTTTTGAGCTTCGGTGAACTAGGCTGAAAAATAAGCTAGCCGCTGAACTGCCCCGTTGACGGTTTGATGTAAGACTGCTACAACTGCCAAAAGGGACGAATCGGTCAGTAGAGACAGACATTTGATCGTTGATATACGAGTGTGGTTGTCATTGTCAAAGCCTCCTTTGAGATAGCAAAAGCCTTATGTGCCTCGTCAGTCATGGTTAGATATTTAGAGCGACCTTTGAGTAGATTGGTTAGAGGCAGAAGGGTCTGAACTGCACTGGGTAGGAATCGACGGTAGAAATTGATCATGCCCAAGGAACGTCGAAGTTGCTTGAGGGACTTTGGTTCCGGATGTTCTCAGATCTCTTATACCCTAATATCGGTGTGCCTTAAACTTGCAGCGGGGATGGTGTGTACCAGGAATTCAAGCTCTGGAACTCCAAAAACACGCATTGACGGATTAATAATCAAACCATAATTGTTAAGACTCACATCTCCGATGTTGTCCACCCATAGTCAAAGTGTACATATTGCATGGTTATTTTCTGTGAAAGCGAGTCAGAATGGCGGGATTGATATGGCCTTAAATAGTCTGTACACAGGAGAACCACAAACTCGACCGATTCCGTGTGAAGATGCGCAGCACAATTTTGGCAGCAAAACGCTTATTTTGGCAAAAGCATTTAATGTTCAAAATGTAGTTAGGGCTTTTTGAGGTGACCACAGCAATTTCGCACGCCATAACCCCATAAACAGCTATCAGATGTTTACCTCACGCTTCTGTAATCGGATCACATTCAACGTATTAAATACTGATATGGTAAAATTGAGCAAAGTAATCTCCTTTTATCTTCTATAGGAATTAGTGCTTATTCGTTCCTCAAAACACCATATCTCTCGCTTCCATTTTATTCTGCGAAGGGTCCTTAGTGGCTTTTAAAGGTGCTGCTAGCGTGTTTAAACCTTTCGTTATTATACGATTTTAAGTTCATTCAAAATTTATCAGTCAGGCATTGTTAAGTGCACTCAGGAATTTTTTGCTTACATTTAATTGAATCCATTTTTTGAATTGTAACTCCTCTAAGTAACCGTTTTTTGTTTACTTTCTAGACCAAACGCAAACGTGTTGCTCTCTGCCCACTTTTCAATTGTTAACCTTCTTCTTTGCCTTGAAGTGATTTTTTAAGCAACAAAGTAGATTATTTGGTTCGACTATTGTTGTGCTTAAAATCCAAATTTGAGATAAAATTCGTGCTAAACAATTTTTGTAAAGTTAAAAGTGATCATGCCTTAAACAATCAATAATCTGCCTCGGTAGCATGTGTTTGAATGCGAAATACCACGTTGCTTAAGCAATCTCGAGAAAGAACTCAGAAAAACCATTTCTAGGCACCCTTCTTGAGGCAAGATTATTAAATTTGTGTTAGCAGTTTGCCAGTTAAGAAGAATAATGGCAAAAATAGAACGGAAAATTATTTTTAGGCTAACGTCACTGAATCCTTTTACTAAGGACAGGTACTGTGCGCATATAAATAGAATTTCCTTGCCTTACATCAACGCGTTGCGCATGGATACATCTCTTGAATGTTTGTTTCCCTAAAATACAAATTTTATTATACGTTATTTAAATTTGTGGTACACACTTGATTTATAAGCTGTTAATTTTTCCGTTTGCAACATTAAAATGATTCTGTAAATTTGAATAATTGTTTACAAAACCAAACACCATGACACAGTTGTAGATGCCAATTAAGCCAAAATCAATAACAATTTATTCTCTAGCCAGTCTCTACTTAAAACTAATCAAATTTGTCAAGAAGTTGCTTCATTCTAAATCAATTTGCCTGCTGGTATTAGACTACACAGAATGAATTAAAAAAGCATTTCTAGATAGTATATGTGGATTCGAAGTAAATCAACTCAGAATTTAGAAAAAGCAGTTTAATTTCGTAACACTGTCAGTGAATGTTTTTGCATTTTGCATGTTAATTAACCAAAATATTTAAGTATCATATCTGCAGGCAATAATAGCAATCATGAAAGTTTGCATTCCCGTTACCGCACTCCATTATTTGTTTATCAGTTTTGTAACAGTGCAAAAATTTTAGCGCTTAATACAAATAAAATGTGAAATGGGTATTTGTACAAATATTGTTTGACTTACCTGAAATTTCATGCGTTCTAGCAAAAGAAAAGCTTGCTTACATAAAAGCGAACGAGAGATTTGATAGAGTATTTTAACAGTGTTTCAGATTTGCCACCCTGTAGATTCTCAGCCAGTTTGCTCAGATGTGATTTCAGAATCTTCCAAAAGGTACCAAAAATGCCACTGCATTTCATATACGTATCCTATATTTTGAAAGAAACTGAATGTAATGAACACCACATGTAGCCTTGCACTATCCTTTAGATAAAAATGCACACATTACCGCTGCCTTCATATTTGGCCAGGATGCCAAAATTTCTACTTTGTTTACTGTTGCTTCTTTAAATTCAAAATTAGATTATTGGTGGTGTCTAAACGGATTCGTCAAATGATTATTCTCATAAACATGGTTGATATCACACAAAAAAGTTTTAAAACAGTGTCAGATTGAGCACTGAAACTGGATTAGGCGATCATTAATACGCAATGTCTGTAAAGGAAGTAAGGACTTTCGGGTTCTAAGATCCTATTGACAAAATGCGCCTGCTTGTTAATGAAAGTTCTTACAAATAATGTATTTTGTTAATTTTGGGTCGCATCAGTCTTTACTGATCTCACTTTGTTTCTTTTTCATTTCAAAGTTCTTATGGTTCTGAAAGTTAAAGTTAAGTACAATGAGGCATCTGAAAGTCTGCTATGAAATTATATTTAAAAGCATGAAATCGTCAAGAAGGAAGGACAATTCAAGGACTGCTTTAAACCAAGTCAAAGATTGTTAAAAGGATTTTATTTGCACAATGCACCTGACCATCCCACTCAGTGTTATCAACAGAGAGATGTTACTACTTGGGACTGAGGTATATCGTCCTTTCCTAGTTTACTTCTTTTCGCGGTGCTTTTGAATAATATTCAAAAATTGGAAGTTTTTTTATATTCTGGAATTCTTCAAAGATTTTACGGAATACTTATTTTTTGCAACAAAAGTTAAATTTTTTTCGTTAATTATTTACCGCGGGTATCAAGGAAACGTAATCGGACCTGGGTTAATTCCGTGGCCCCGGCGTGGTTCAAGACCACATGCTGGGGCCCACAACAGTTTACTGTATACGCGCCCTCTAATACACTTGGGACGGCAAGAGTAGGAATGAAGTGATTGGATTGAATTTATGCGAGACCACGTGTGCGTAAACTATCTTCAACATGAAAAACCGTCTAGAAGTCGCATAAACAAGTTACAATAAGTTGGGTTATTTGGAGTAATTTAGAATCTGTGAAAGTATAAAAATTAGCAACATTATTGTATGTTACCTTAGAATCTAAACACAACGTGTAGAAATAACAGAGTATTAGCTTGTAAACAAATTCAGCATGAATTTTGGTACCTCATTTCACAACATATAAAATTAACAGCTCCCCGGCATGTTTTAAACTACACCGGTCCACTGCGCAACCCTCATACCTGCGAAGATAAAGAAGACCAGAGAGGACGAGGCAGAACCGCCTACCACCCAGCTCAACTAACTTGTTTTGTAGTTTGTGCGTATTAGGAGTAGTGCGTGACTCTGTTTTTGTTGACTTATACGGTTGAGTGAATTGGTAAAAATACAGACGTCTGAAGGGTCACGTGGATAAAGCGGGTGGCGGTGGTGGTAGTGGTGGTACATGCAGACGGGTGAATGAG